TAAAACTGCCCCCACTATATGATGGCGGTCAGTCTTAGCACGGCTTCTTGATCCATACACAACATTAGTCTCTTTTTTTACCAGTAAATTTTTTCTTCACAGCATTTGAGGTGGAGACCATAGGTATCTTCCCGCTTTCAACCTTCTCACTAGTTAAGATCAATTCAGTAAATCCAGATGACGAACTCCCAGTCAGCAAGTTGAAGAATGGTCCAGTCAATGTCCCCATAAACATATCTACCAATTCTCTATTAGTTAAAGGTGGGTGCACCCTGCAAGCCAAGTCTCTCCATTTTTGAGCGTATTATTTGAAGCCCTCGTTTGATCCCGTGGTCATTCCTTGCAATTGCACCCCAGTTGGCACAAGATCAGCGTTATATTGATATTGGCGGTAAAAATGAGTGGACAAATCCTCCCATGTATGGATGTTAGTCCCTTCCAATTGGTAAAACCACTCCAACAGCGTCCCAGATAGACTTTCTTGAAAAAAGTACACCCACAGTTTCTTATCAGCGGTATGCGGATGAATTTTGCAAACGTAAGATCTTAGATGAAGCTTCAGACATGAGCCACCATTTTACTTGGCGAAAACGGGGATCTTGAATTTGTGGGGAATGACTACCCCAGGAACAAAACCCAAGTCACCAAAGTTCAAGCCATGCACAACTTGGATTTCCACAACTTTTAATATGTCTTCTAGTTGCTTATATTTTTCGTTAGCCGGTGGATATTGCTCATCAAAATAATCTCCGTCTTTAGAGATTTGATTGTTTCCACCCCCAGCACGGGTGCTCCTAGCATCTTCATCTTGATTCTCATCCTCTTCGGAGGAGTCTTCTTCAACTTAAACTTGTTGGACGGGGCCTTTGAACCTCTTCCCCATGTTGATTACAGCTTTCTTCTTTGTCTTTTTTTATGTAACAAGAAGAGACATCACTTCTTGCTGCCCCTTTGCTAAGTTGAGCAGAGTTTCTTGGAATTGAGAGTGTTGAGTCTGCAAGTCCCTGACATTTTTCTCGAGATCCATCTTATACTAAAATTAACAGTAAAAAGATGAGGAAACGTGTGTCAGAAAACCTGCTTATGATATGATGCATGTTATGTGAATGCAATTCTTTCAAGAATTTTATGGAATTTAAATTTTAGCTAGACAAAGAGAAGACAACAAACATTAATTGCATTAATAAGTTCATGAATTACAAATGCCTCTTGAGCTTACAAAGGTCACAAAATAAATTCCTAAAAAGAAAAGAAAGGCTCAAGTTCCCCATGGGCGCATCCTCTTTGGTGCAATGTAAGCATTCAGGCTTTGCTCTTCATGAAGTTGCCTCGTAAGCTCCAAAACCTTCTTCTCACTTGCATAAAACTGTGCTTCAAAGGTGTCTCATTCTCCTTTGAGTTAAATCCACGATCTTTGCAATTCCTCGACGTCGGTAGGCATATCAGGATGAAAGAGGGTGTAAGGAGTGTTTCCCTCAGTAACGGGCTCCATAATCACAGGTAGGATGGCGGGGTAAGGCATCATGAGACTTTGAGCACGAGTTCATACCCACTTGAGGTAAGGCTCAAGAGGGATGGAATTTTTATTCCCCAAAGTCTTGCTATCCACTTTGTTTACCATTCTCCAAGCTCGTATGAACCTTTGATGATAGCCTTGGACATCGCCCTCGTAGTCGAAAACCAAACCTTGGATGAGCATATCATGGGGACAGTCCCTTCGTGCATACCCAAACTGTCATAATGCAAGAGAAGGTTTATAGGTAATACCTCCCCTAATTCCCAAGAGTGTAACATTAGGGAACTCCCCAAACCAATCAATGATGGTAATATCTTCCAAAGATCGAGAACACCAATGAATATCCGAGTGTGAAAGCGACATCATCCTTTGAGACCATGTCAAGCCTTGTTCATTCTTCAATGTTGATCGAGGTAGGTGCGAAATAAACCACCTAGATAGTAATGGGATACAATACAAAAGAGTCCCTCTCTTCTTCATGGTGCGAGTGTGAAAACAATGTATGATTTCTCCAAGCAAAGTAGGTATGGGATTATGAGAGAGAAAAACCTTGATGGCATTCACATCTATGAGTTTTTCCTTATTGGGAAATAGAACCAAACCATAGATTATAAGGGCCAAGACATCCTCAAAAGCTTGAAAACCCATATCTTCCCAAAATAAACGAGCCTTTTCCAACAGAAACTTGGCTAAGAAACCCTTAGCTCCCCTTCTTGTCTCCCAATTTGTCACAATGTTATATCTCTTCAAATGCAAGGCTTTGGCAATAACTTCATGCTTTGGAGTTTCCTCTAAACCGGTGAATGGTATTTGATCAAGCACATACACTCCTAGAAATTAAAATAATTCTTCTAATGTAGGCACCAATTAGTAGTCGGGAAATGTGAAGCAATGATGCATAGGATCAAAGAATTGGAAAAGCACACACATCATTTCTTCTTGGAAGTTTGAGGTAGCCAAGTTGAGAAGTTGACCATATTTCTTGGTGAAGGGAGAATCTCCAGGAACTCTTGATGCTAACTCTTGAAGTTGAGGATTCACTTTCACGAAGTTGACTCAGATGGTATTCCTACGAGTGGAAGTCATGTCCTATAAAACAAAACAAAGATAAATTCCTAAATCCTTGAAATGGTTAGTAGAATGGTTATGATGTTATGATGTTTATGATGTCATGAATAATAATCACAAACAAATCACACAAAGACCTTAGGTTTAGGCTTGCATGGGTTTCATAGGTAAGTACCCTCTTGAAGTTTAGTTGGTTCAACCTGTCCTAGAAAGTAAACGGGTTCTAGGGAATCTCAATATCATTGATATTTCTTCATTGGGAATTGTTTTAGCACAATCAATCTTTTCTTGCGGCTAAAATATCCCAAAAGTCCAATCTCAATGAGTGTAGTATCAAGTATCAACCAATTTTAAGCTTTGCACCAAAGTCGGCTATCTCACTACTTCCTAATGGCCAAGTTGCTTAACTAAAGGTTCTACCTCCAGTTAGTGCTTCATGACATCACACAGCGGCCCCGTATTCTCCTCGATTCAACACAAGGGATATTGGTACCAACAAATATGTCACACTAACATAAATATTGTTTCAACCATATCGGTCTATGCCGTACAGTCTCCACAATCTATTTCTACTTACCTAATAATGCTCCCAAATCCGAATTGAAGATTTATACAAGAAACCCAAACATAGGCCCGAAAATGTAAAGCAAACAAGTAAAACAAATGAAAGCATTTAAAAGTGATCCAGTCTCTAAGGTAACCCTACTTTTAAGTTTATCCCCAACAGAGTCACCAGTTCTGTAACACGGTAGGAGAACTGACTTGGGTGTTTTGTGTTTTATCGCAATTGTTATAGATAGCAAGAGTCACCACCTACTTATCTTTTATCCAATAAAGGAAAGGGTGAAAATAACAGGAAAGATCTTTTGAGAATTTTCTTGAGTTCGGGTGGTAGGTTATGAAAAGGGAAGGTGTTAGCACCCTTTTCATCTGTAGTTATCTACGGGCTCTTAGTTGATAGCTCACTTTGAAATGTTTTGTTTGAAATGTTTTTGTGATAGGTTTTGAAAGTATTTTTGAAAAGTTCCTTTTTTTAGGCGAACTTGGTAATGATTCTCATTTTGGTGAAAATGTATGCAAAGTGTTGACTTTTGAAAATATTTCATGGAAAGTGTTGGTGTGTTTGAAAATGTTTTGAAATGTTTATGAGCAAGAAAATATGAACGTTCTACCTACTCAAAAAGTCTTAGTTCTTTTCCTCCTCCTTTAGATATTGTTATCTTACCATTGATTGATAAGAAGCCCTATCATTGGATGTGAAGGGACATGCGTGGGTCGTCGTATAATTTTAATACCCCAAATTTGTTCTACCCTTTCACTTTTATCTGGCTTATGCATTGTTACACTTTTCCCATGTATATAACCCTCATTAAGTCAGCTAACACCTCATGCATCATTCATCAATAAATTTAGTACGAGATCAATGTTCATGAACAGGATTAGGGTTTTATCAACTGACTGAGGTGTATATGTTCAATAGAGCTTGATTCTTCTGGTTATTTTTTTGGCAGTGAAAGTGTGGAATTAGGGTTTTATGCTCATGGGTGTTTTGGATCTTTTCTTCATCAAGCTATAAGGTCATCCTCCATCAAGGATTCATCAAACACATGTGGATTAGGAATTCACATCTTCTATGTGTGAATTCATAATATCCATCAATTGAGGTTCATTGAGCTTCATATTACATTTCTTTCTATACTTCAAGGTGCCCTCAAGGTGATGTTGTTATCCATAAAGTCAAGATATAATATGGATTGGATTGCAAAATGCAAGCCATGGTACAAAAGATGAAGTTGTGGGTTTGTTGAGTTCAAAACTTCATCATTATTTCAAACAATTATTACTTCGATTACAAGTTTAATAGGGTTCAAGAGAAATGAGATGCCAATTCAGATTCGTTGAAACTTCTAATTGAGCTCAAGATTAATCTTGGTTCAAGATCATAATTTCATGATTTGTTAATGGTTGATTCAAGATGAGATTGGAAGATTCATGTAGTTCAAGTTGTCATCTTCAAGTTCACTTAATTCATCTCCCATTATTCAAATCTAGGCATGACATATAAATGGATTCAGATTCAATTCTTTGTGAAATGTCAAATTTTATTCAAGTTTTGAAGCGAGGCGTCCCATGATAAAGTTCAACGTCAATTTGGGAAAGTTAAATTTTGGGACAAAGTTCCATTTAAATTTATGATTGTTTCATTCAAGTTACACGCATAATGGAGGGAAAGCAATTCAAAATTGAAATCAAGTCCCCATTATTAAAAACCATTTCAAAGCATGGTATCTTAATCAAGTTCGGATCACAAAGCTAAATTTCAAATACATACAGCATCTGAGTTTCATCCAATTACATTCATAATCACACAAACTTTTGTTCTAAGCCTAAGTCCCATGACCAAGCCACCATATCTTCAAGCTATTCCTAAAGCTTCATGTATCACTTGAATCCATCTCAGGTTTACCCAATCCTGCAATTTCGCAAAGCAATAAAAGTCGGTTCAGAATTCAAAAACAATTAACCCTGCACAGTCTAAAACCAGTGTAAACAGAATATAAATATTCATTCGAAAATAGCCCCACAACTATAGAATCAGGTCAGAAAAAATACTGAATTCATAAACCCAAAGCTCATATCAACCACCTATAAAAGAAAAAAGGGATTTCCAGTTACAGCAGCCCATATAAATTCAAAAAAAAACATATGCGAATTCAAATGGAAGAAAATGCCATTCTACTGTCAATTCCCAAACTACCCTGCATAATAGAAACCTCATAGAAGATTTACCATCCAAAAACAACCAAAGCATAATTGCAAACAACAAAATCCCAACTGGACTCCTTCTAGTGAAAACCCTACAAACTGTCAAAACTGACTTCCTAATCTTCCTGCATAATTAACAGCCCATTCAAAACCACCCCGCATAACAGAACTTTCAACTTCCTAACAGTTTCCATAACCAAAACTAACTTACCTGTAACCAATTCACAAGCTCCTAACCTTTTTCAAAACCAATAGCCCTGCAAACTGCCTACAACTACAAAGCAGACTTTCACTAACAGAATCCAACATATAACCAATTTCCCAGCAGAAATAACAGAAAAACAAAACATAATTTTTTCTAACCGTAACTTCCTATCTTCTAACAGAATTTCCAACCTCTAACCAACCCTCTAACTGTCAAAAACAGAATCATAACAGAAATTTCCAACTAACTGTCAAAGTAACCCCCTAACAATTTCCATCAGCCTTATAACTAACAGTTAACAAACCAAGCTTAACAGAATAACTAACTCATAACCAACTAACAGATAACAGAAAAGAGTTAGGGATTCATTCGCACCAAAAAAAGAGAACATAGAAAAGTCACAGGAAAAGCATAAACTCACCTTGGTAAGAAACTCTTCAATAGTATGAGAAGGGTAACCAGAAAACTCCACAGAAAGTTCCCAAAAATTATCTCTTCTCCTCTCATCTTCCTCTTCATCATTCTTCACATCCTTCAATCACATAAAAAACTCTCTTTGAAATCTCTACTTCAAGCATATTCAACCTTCATTTCCTCATAACAGAACCTTCATTTTGTTGCAATATTCACCCTCACTGCAAATTCATCACCAAAGCCACAACCTTCATCACCACCTTCATCATTAATCTTCAAATACAACAGCTTCACGAATCCTCAATGTTGCGTGTTCTTCAACATTATTCAACCTTCTTTAGCTTCATCTTTGGTTCCTCAATCAGCCTCGACAACGACTTCATCGAGTTATTATACAGAGAAGAACCAACAAACTTCAACATTCATTATCTTCATTAGTGAACTTGCAAATCACATTAACGCACAACCATTTCAACTCAGCACACATCATGCAATAACATAATGCAAAGCAGAAACATAAAATCAAGAAAATAGAAGAAGGGGTAGTGAAGAAGAGAATCACAACACGTCTTAGTCGAGTCTATCATTTCTAGAAGACGCATCTTCATCACTGTCGTTGAAGCATTCTAGGATCTTGATTTGCATTTAGATTCGGAAGAATTAGGGAAGAATTAAAAAGAACAAGCGATATATTGGAAATCAAAAGGAATATACGATCCGATTGATGGTGCTCATTGATATCACCGTCACATGATGTTGTCGATGGTGGAAGGTTGGGTTGTAGCGAAATCGAAGAGGGCATAATAGAGGGTTTCGCGGCGCTACATGAAGAGATGAAGAGAGAAGATCGTGCTTCATTAAAATTCAACAGTCACAACACTTCTCAACCCTAACCTAATGGATTGGGGATTTGTTTTGTTGGAAATTGACCGATTGGGTTCCCATTAAGGCCCAAAGACTTTTCTGGGTAAACATTTTTGGAAACTGGTATATCTTGCACAAAAAAAGATGATTCTGGGTCGAACCACACTCCCTCTTGGCCCATTTTTGTGTTGTTTTTGTAGCCTCACAACAATATACAAAATGGTGATGGACCAAATCTGACGGGCTTAACACTAATTCCTTTCAATACTCCCTGTGCCAACTTCATACCCCCTGACTCTTCTAACTTCTTTTTTTATTATTTCAATTTTTGTTCTAGTTTAATTTTTCTCTTAATTGATAATAAAAATGATACAAAAATATTAGAACATTTTATGATTTTTTGTTTTTCTCTTTAGAATTTTATTAGAATATTCTATTATTGCTTTTATGTTTGGTAATCATTTTTGTTGCCATTTTTAGCCTAGATTTTGTGATAGAATGTTGACGTAACTTTCGCGATATGGAATGCTTGGAGATTAATTCGTTTGATCACTTGTGCGAAATAGATTCTGTAGAGCTTTCTTATCGCTTGCGTGGCTTTAAATAGGCAACGGACCTTCTCCGTTCGGTATCATTGTGACTTTATTTTACTCCTCATTTTCGGACTTCATTGCTTTCTAGATATCATGAGAAGTAGGAAATAAAGAGCGTGCGCTCGAAGTCGCTGTTTAAAGACCTGTAGCAGGGATTCCGCACTTCATTTGCTATATGTGTTGTGCTTTTGTTTGTTTACTTTCTTGTTAATCGATGAGTCACTCAATTTAGGAATTGAGATCACGACTTCGCTCTCAGTGCATGCTCCCTATAGGATTTTTATCGCTTCCTATTATTTATTGTTGATCGATGAGTCACTCAATTTAGAAATTGAGATCACGAATTCGCTCTCATTGCATGTTCCCTATAGGATAGTTTTGTTAGACTTTCTTTGGCATGCTAACTTAGATAGGATTTCTATAGGTGTGCTATTGAGTTTATTGGCTTGTTTGCTTTACCATTGTGCATACCATGTTCCCCTAGGACGTGCTTGCTCTGTTCGGATGCAAGTTAGACCTTAAGTTGTAAATCATGCATGCTAACATTAGGTAGAAACTTCTCCTTTCATCCTTGACGTAGAACTATCATTGTATGATAACATTAAGTTAGAAATAGGCTAGTCTCTCTTAGACTCTTTTCTTCCCCTTTTTGCATCCTTGCATTCTAAAACAAAAACTTCTTTTCTTAGCAAATCAAAAACATGCTAATCATACCTAAACCTTTTTTCAAGGTAACAAAACACAAACCAAATTCAAACCATTTTGTGCGCTCGAGCACCTTTTCTCTAAAACCCTTTTCAAGTAAGGACATGATTAATTTACTTATGTGCCAAGGCATAAGTCTCCAAAGGTTGAGCTGCGGCAGAAGGCGGAATTAATATTGTCCAAGCGAGCATAATTTTATTTTCCCTACATTCTTTTCCCCTTTCTTTTGCATGCATTCTCATGATTTCTAGAAAGAAATGAAGTGTGAAAATGAGGAATAAAATGAGATTGCGATGATACCGAACGGAGAAGGTCCGTTGCCTCTTCAGGATCATGGAAGCAATAAGAAAACTCTACATAAAGCTGCTCCGTGCGAGTGATCAAAGAATTAATCCCTGGGCATTCCACATTATGAAAGTCACATTAATCATTCTATCACAAAATCTTAGCTAAAAACGGACAATGAAAATGATTATTTAACACAAAATAAAAAATAAAAAATACTCTAATAAAATTCTAGGGAGAAAACGTAAAGTTATTTTAAAAAAGCTTTTATGTATTGACACATGCGCTTATGTGTTGATATGAAAAATTTTATGCATTGACGCATGCACTTATGCATTGATATGAAAACTTTTTTGCATTGACGCATCCACTTATGCATCAATACATATCATTTCTTGTTCTTGAAAGTCAAAACCAACTCAGTATGTATTGATGCATAATGGTTTGCATCGGCTCATATCTATTTTGCATCCACACATGCACTTATGCATCGATAAATATCATTTTTTTCTCTTGGAAATCAAAACCAATTCAGTATGTATCGATACATAATGGTTTGCATCGACTCATATTTGTTTTGCATCGACTCATTCATGTTTTGCATCGACTCATACACATTTTTCTCTCTGTAATATGTCTTGATAACATTATGTATTGATGCATAATGCCTTGTATCGACTCATAACCTGTTTTGTACCTAATATGAGTCCACTCATAGAGATATGCATCGACTGATACTGCTGTTTTTTACTTCTAACATTGTTCTGTCACATATATAAGTCAGTTCTCAACACATGATTAGTGAAAATGAAAAGTAAGCATATAGTTAGCTTCAGGGCAATGATATCTACATTTTATCTTCACAAATGAACCATTAATTATGCTAGTATGAAAAGTTCAAAGTCAAGAAAACTTACCTTGAAACTGAAATTCATGTTTTGATTTAGAGTTGGAGAAGTCAAGTTGCAGTTGGCTATTTTTGGGCTTGGAAATGGTGATGATGATGTAACATAAGTTGTTATCATGTTTGAATAACTCCTATATGATGTATGTGAAGTATTTAGATGACTTGTTGGGACAAGACTTGCAAGGTGTGAAAGGTTTAAATATTTGGACTTCAAAGCTCAAGAGTGGAGGTTTTGTGGATATTTATGTTTTTTTGAGAGTATGAGGGGTTTTGAGAAACTTGTCTACACCACAAAAACTTATGGCCTTTAGCTTACAAATGGCCTCTCTATTTATAGAGAAGGTTTGATAGGATGAGAGAGTTTGTTTCACAAGCTGTGGAATTCTGGTTTGGTTGAGATGAAACAACTTAGTTATGTGAAATTTGATGTCCCAATGAATGGTAAAAATGGATCTGAAGTGGCTAGGACTTTTTAGTCATGTTGCTTCTTGCTTTGACATTGTGTGTGCAGAAAAAACAGTTTAGAGGCTCAAGGAGAGATGACTTTATGTAAAACATGCTTTATGTGAATGACAATGGTGCCTTTGTGCCATAAATGGAAAAATGGATAGGATAATGCCTTAACCACTTGGATCATAGCTCATAAGTTTGTGTAAATAATTAATTATGGTGAGATTTGCAAGTTATAAGGCCTGAAAAGTAATATTATGCAACATAGCATGAAGATTGTATTATGTGTTCTTCATAAAAATGACTAGTAATTCAAGAATGGATGCCCAACTTCATGCCTTTGAATATCCCAGCTCAAATATGATAAATTCATGCTCTTGGATATTTTGGAAAGCTTGAAACATTTTCTACAACTTTCATGTGACTATTTTGGATAAATCAAATTATAAATTGATGAAAATTGGCCAAGAAGTTGAGATAAAAACTGACCAAACCTGTTCAAAATTTCTCTAAGTGTTTTATGAAAAATGTCATGACTTTAGGAATTTATAACTTAAAATTCAAGCACTTATAGGACTTGATCATCAAATCAAAGTTATAGATCTCATCAAGATCTACAACTTTCATGTTGAAAGTTTTTATTGAATCATCTTGGTGAAAGATTGGCATAAAGTTATGAAATTATCATGTATGAAAACACTTAGAAAAATTTCTAAGTCTTGGAAAGTTTCACTTTTCAAATTGACTTTTGACTTTATTGATTTCTTGATGATCAAGCTTCATATTTTTGAATGTCTTGATGCAATATTATTTTTTAAATTAAATCTTGACCAAAAAGTCAAAGTTTGACTTTTTGTGCATCAGTTGACTTTTCATCAGTTGATCAAATTTCAACTATCAATCTATTGATCTTGAGAGATAAACGCAATTAGGTTAAAATGATGTCCTTGAATCCTTCATATCATGTTCCAAACCAATAAGTTATGTATTAAGTCGAAAGTCAAGAATCAATCATTCTTAGTCAAAACCCTAATTTTGACCATTTTGCCCTTTTGATGATTTGAACATTTTTCTTAAGGAATTGTGATCCAAACTTGATCAGTTGATGCATATGAATTCAAAATGTTGATATTGGTCAAAAACATGGAAGTTTCACTGTATGTTGACCATAATTGACTTTTTACCCAATACAACTAATTTTTAGTCATCTAAGCAATTGATTGAGAAAAATTGTGATTCAAGGCTTGAAACTTGACATGAGTATTCTTAGAGGTCTATAATGATACATGAAAGTTATTTGAGGCATTAGAAGTCCAATTATCCTTTTAAAAATCAAAACCCTAATTTGAAGCATCGGTGTTTAGAAGATGGTTTGACCTAGTCAACACTTGTGCCATTTTGAGCCATTGAAGATCTTGTGAGAAATGTCTTGAGAAAAGAGAGGGCAAATTTTAGGGTACCACAATGTTCATATGCATATGTTCATTCAATTTAGTCATTGGACGTTTTTGCAAACAGAATAGAAAAAACCAAGAGTTTGAACTTTAAGATGTATTTGTATTGATAATTTGCCTATAAA